TGGTGCCGTCGCAAATACTCTGTCTTTTTGAGACGGCATTTTCTGCCGTCGCAAAAAGTGAATTTCGTGTTTTTTTTTTTATTTTTAGTGAATATTTTTAAAATTTTAAATATTTTTTTTTAGATACACCTTCCTTAGATGTATTTAAAAAAAAATTATGAAAAAATATTTTTAAAAATTAATAAATACATAAAAATACCAAAAAAAATGTATTGAAATATTGTATTTTTGGTATTTAGTGAATTTTTAAAAGATTTTTTTTACAATTTTTTTAATTTTTAGGTGTATTTATGTTAGGTGTGTCTAAAAATTAAAAAAAAAAACTTAAAATATTAAAAAAATTCAATAAAAATAATATAATACGGAAAACAAGAAAGTATAATTTTCTCAAAAAAGTTTTTGGAAAACTCTAACCTAGCATAGTGATTGTGGTTTTGAGACAACTTCATATATATACAGTCACAAAATGGATTGAATAAATTCAACGGTATTTTTCTGTCGCAAAAAAAATTAAAAAAAACAATGTCGTCTTACTCTTTTAATATAACATTTCTCTTTTCATTCATTTTTTCATCTTCATGTCTCTCTGCCTCTATCTCTCTCTCTTCTCTTTATCTCTAAAAAACAATGTATTCTTACTCTTTTGATGTAACGTTTCTCTTTTCATTCATTTTTTCATCTTCATGTCTCTCTGTCTCTATCTCTCTCTTTTTTCTCTTTATCTCTTTCACTCATCACTCTTCTTTCTCTATCTGTCTGTTTCTCTCTCTCATTTTCTCTTTGTGTCTCGCGTCTATCTCTTTTCTCTCTATCTCTCTCATTTGTTTTCTCTCTCTGTCTCTCTCGCTCATCTCTCTACTCTCTATCTCTCTCATTTCTTTTCTCTCTCTTTCTAATCTTTTTATCTCTTTCGCCCATTTCTCTTCTCTCTGTCTCTCTCTTTTTCTGTGTCTCTCTCTCTCTCGCTCATCTCTTTTCGTTCTATTTCTCTCTCTTTTTTGTCTATCTCTCGCTCATCTCTTGTTTCTCTCTCTTTTTCTATCTTTTCCTCTATCTCTATCTCTCTCTTTCTCTTTTTCTCTCTATCTATTTTTCTGTCTATCTCTCTCTCTCACTCATCACTCTTCTCTCTCTCTCTCTACTTGTCTATTTGTCTATTTCTCCCTCACTATGTTCGCCTTGCTCACTCTCTTACTCCCATCTTCTCTATTTATCGAGCTCCTTCTCGATTTATCGATCCACTATAAACGACGTCGTCTTATTCTTTTGAACATTTATCTTTTCACCCATTTTTTCAGCTTCCTATCTCTCTGTCTCTGTCTATCTTCTCTTTCCCTCTCTTACTCATCACTCTTCTCTGTCTGTCTGTCTCTCCTTTTCTTTATGTGTCTTTGTCTCTCTCTCACTCATCACTCTTCTTTGTCTGTCCGTTTCTCTCTTTCTTTCTGTGTCTCCGTCTCTCTTCTCTTTCTCTTTCTCACTCATCACTTTTTTTTTGTCTGTCTGTCTCTCTTTTTCTCTGTATCTCTCGTCCATCTCTCTTCTCTCTATCTCTTTCATCTATCTTCTCTCTCTTCTTTTTTTCTCTCTCGCTTTCTCGTTCATCTCTTTCTGTCTCTCTCTCGTTTATCTCTTTTCGCTCTTTTTCTCTCTCTCTCTCTCTCTGTTTCTCTCTTTGTCTATATCTTTTCACCCATTTTTTCATCTTTTTCTCTCTATTTTCATTCACCACTCTTCTCTCTCTGTCTGTCTATTTGTCTCTCTCTCTCTCTCTCTGTGTCTCTCACTCATCTATCTCTTCTCTCATCTTTTTTCTCTCTCTCTGTGCCTCTCACTCATCTCTCTCTCTCACCACTCATCTCTTCTACCACCTTCACCACTACTGCAAATGCCAATTTACTACCACCACTACTACCACGGTCGCCATTTCACCTCTACGACTACCATTACTACTACCATCGCCACCACTCAACTATCACCACTACCACTATTGCCACTACTACTACTACCATTACCTCTCTTTCACCCCTGCTACTCCATCTACTCTACTATTGCCACAACTTCACCACTAATCTCCTTCGTCATCACCATCACCACCACCACCACCACCGCCACCATCATCTCTTATCCACCACTTTCACCACTACTACCACTGCAAATGCCACATTGACCACAAAAAATTAATTTTATTTTAATGGAAAATATTATCCCTACTTCTACGAAATAAAAAAATAATAATAATTTTTTATTCATTGAAATAAATATGAAACAAATAAATTTTCAACCTTACTAAATGAAAAAAAAAAAAATCATTAACTATAAAAAAAATTATTTTAATAAAAAATAATCATTTTTAGCAAATCCTCCGTTGCGAAAAAAAAAGAGTCGTTTTATTATTTAAATATTTATATGTAATGAAAATAAATTAAAAAAAAAATTCCAAAAATATTTCCAATCCCCTCCCTTCCCATTCCCGCTCATTTTTCCCCCCATCAACCAAAAATCCCCAAATCTCAAATCCCTAATTTTTGAACCAAAAATCCCCATCTCTGTCTCTCTCGCGACTGTGAGCACGGCAGACGATGGCGTCGAGTGACGGGGTTAAGGAGCCTCAATCTTTTGTTTCTCACTCCGTTGGCTTTCCCTCTGTTGCTCTCATTCTAGTGGCGAAGGAGCTGCTGAGAAACCTGATGTGTATGCGCACTGTCAGATTACTCTCTCCCCTTCCATATCACAAGGAGGAAAGCGCCCTCTCTTTGCTCTTTCTATATTTCTCTGTAATCGTATTTATATCTTCTCTCTCTGTCTATAAAATATTTTGACGATCATAATTGAAGAGGGAGGGAGGGAGGGAGGGAGGGAGAGAGAGAGGTTTGATGGTGCAAAATGGACAGGGGATGGACCCTGCCGTTCTTGATGACATCATTAATCGGCTTTTGGAGTTTTGGCAGGCGAGGAGTGTACGCCAGGTCCAGGTCCAGCTCTCCGAGGCTGAGATCCGTCAGCTTTGCACCGTTTCGAGAGAAATCTTCCTCCAACAACCCAATCTCTTAGAGCTCGAAGTCCCCATCAAGATCTACAGTAAAAGTTTCATCTTTTTCTTTGTTTATGTTATGTAACTCTGTATTTGTTTGCTGTTGGTTTTGGGTTTGTAAAATATTTGTTTGTTTGTGGGTTGTTCTTATCTTGGTTACACACATACATATATCCGTAGCTGTTTTTGTTTTTGGTCTATTTTTGAATAGGATTTAGAGGAGTTGTGGATAACGTTGGGGACAAGTTGTGGATAAGTTTTGGTCTGGCTTCTTTTTGGGTTAACTGTGTCTTGGGACATTGCAGAACAACCAAACTTCTTTTGCTGCATTTAAGGCCAGAAAGTGTAGAGTAACTGACACTTTCTAAGTATTTGAGGTTTTTGCTGTTCTAAGAAGTCATCTATTGCATTAATGATCTTCCCAATTATATTTCTGGAGTTATATTGATTACTTATTGATTGTTGGTTGGTTTTGGTAGTTAGTTGAATTGAGTCAGTGTTTCCTCCAACACAACATCAGCCTCTATTACAGAGCCAGGTTTCTTTCTAAATTGGGAGCTTTGAGGATCTTGGGTTGGTCTTCTCATGGCACATATTGGTGGGCATCATTTCTCTGGAGGGTCTCTATCAGGTTTGAGATTTTTATGTATTCAAATTAAATCCTATCATATGATTTTGCAATTAGTTGGAGTGTTTAATATCCCAATGGTGGTGGTTTATTGCTTATTGTTTGTGCCCACTTCACTACCAATTATAAGTGGTTGGAACTAAGAATTATGCAATGAAGTTTTTTGACTGAAACTTGTTCTTTAATTGCTCTCTGTTTGGTTGGTCTACCATAATTAGAGACCCAGTATTTCAATATCCTGGCACTAAAGAAAAATAAATAAAATAATTAAGGCTCTAGCAAGACCAGTTGAATTCCTTGTTTAGTTAAATAAGATCCAGTTGTTAGGTAAAATATGATACTTCTAAATTCATGTTTGTTTTACTTTCCTCAAAATTTGGTGGTGAAAAAGCATTATAAGCTCCATTTTATTCAGTTTTTTTGCATTAGCTTGTCCAGATGACGCTGATTGAATCACCACTACTTGTGCCTGATTCTTGGGCTATTATGGGGTTATTATAGAAACGTGAGTCTTGGGCTATTAAAGCAGCTGAAAATACATGAACATTGCTTCTTTGCTCTCTTATTAAAACTTGTCAGTCATTTAAAGGATTTTTAATCTCTATGGTTGCTACTTGCTATGTCATACTCCTATAACATGCTGGAGGTTTGGTGGCTTATCTACTCCATGTTTTAATTTGTTCATCTATCAGTTAATCAATTCAACGGAACTATTATTGACAAAGATACTTGGAATCCATAAATAAACAGAGGCATATTCTTATGTTCACCTTATTTAAATTATTTGTTGTACTTATTATGCATTGTATATCTAAGCTTATCTACTAATCTAAAATTTGAATGAAAATATGTTCTTGGAACTCTTTCTGTTGCCTTACTTTGATCACTGTCGTGGGTAATGGTTCTCTAATCTTGTTTTTTCTGTTGATATGAAACAGTTGTCTTCAGTGGTTTGTTAATTGGGAAAACAAAAGAAAGTTTTTAATTTTTATCTTGTACTGATCATTCTCCATACATAGGTTTTACTTGGCATTGGGGAGCTCATCGCTTCAAGGACTTGCCCCAAGGTAATCTTCTATCAAGGCATCATGTGTATGCGCTTTGACTAGAAAAGAGTCTGTCGAGTAATTGTTGTAAATTTGGTTGATAGTTCAGGAAGTTACTAATTCCTTTGTGATTGGCTCTACTGAAAATATTCAGTTGAGGCCCTTAATTCCTTTGATGTTCGGATGACATTAATTATATTCGAAGATTCTAGCTATTAAACACCTATTGTGGCTCTTATTATGTAGGGTTTTCAACATTGTTATGTTGTATTAATGCATTTACTTCCTTTATAGGTATTTTTGTTGAATAGTATTCATGATCGAGAAACTAGCGGCTTTTCTGCTGCTTGCTTTGGGTTGGGAGGGTTTCGAGCACAATCTAACTCTAACCCACATAAATAGGTTAGTCTCTCTTAATCAATTCATATACATCATTGTATTTGTTTTCAATTCTCTCAAATTTTATTTCTTTGTTGTTTCCATTAGTTTGGAGGGATTGAATTAGTTTTTGGTTTCAATCTGAGGACTTGATGCTACAAATGATATCATTTACGCCAAGTGTTTGTGTTTTTGCTTCTGTTTCTGTAATATGGTGTTTGTTGCTTTCATAGTTTTGCTCGAGTTCAAATCGTAGAATCGTATCAATTCATTGCTTGTCCTTCTAAGAATTAGTATATGATTTGTTGTTCAAGCTCTTCGGTGATTGAGTTTGTGTCTCGTTTGGTGGCTTGGGGTGTTGTTTTAATAATATAACTTGTTATATTTGTAAATACAATCATGCAGCTTTAATTCTCCGGATTTCTTAGCATATCATTTTTTGCCTTTCTTGACGTCATTAGGGATGGATGCATCACTTATCTATTACAGAAAAAGTATTTAGAACCATAATTGTTTTCAAGAACCCCAAATAATTCATATACTGTCCCACAGTGGAGGCCTCATCGTGCATATGTATGTCATGTAATCGTATATCAGCGAATAAGCACTCTCCCTCACATTCTTGTCAGAATAACTTTTTTTCTTCTCTTCTTTTTTAATTTTTAAATTTTAAAATTTTGACAAATAGACTTGCCTAATAATATATATCAAATGACAGTAGTAAGAGATGTAATTAGAAGGCTGTGATTGGTGGGCTTTGCCTAGAGTTCTGTTATTTTGTCAAGTTCTGTTTCTCTGAGACATCTTCTTTCATTGTGGGTTGATGCAATTTTGCATAATTTCTATCACATCATTTGTATGATGCTTCAGCTGAATTATTATGTTTGCCTTTTTATCAATGAATTAAGGTATGAACTCTTCATCAACTCAATTTGTCACTTCAGGAATGATGGGTTTATATGAGAGACAAATTTTTTAGAAGTGGGCGCACCAATAAATTTTGTAAAATCTAGTTAATTCCTGTATATTTTTGTGTTCATTCATGTATTTGGTTTCTAGATTCGTAGTGAAACTCTTTCCGGATAAACCACAAACCTAGAAAAAGTGTCCACAAAAATAAAATGTAAGATGTAGATTAATGAATCTTTGGTTTACATATTTTATTTTCTACAATTAAAAAAATATCTAGCATTAGTCTACATTTTCACACCCACCAACCACTTCATGTTTTTTTATTATAATTCCCCACTCTTAAGGTTTGGAAACCAAATCAAGTAACCATCACAATCTTATAACAAATTATTGGTTAATTTACAGGTAATGAAGCTCAAGGAACAGCTTTCCGAGGCAGAGAAGGAGATACAGAGGCTACTGGAGAGATGTGATGGTGTTTCAAGCAACAGCCCGGCTTCATTGTTCTCCATGGAAGCCATGGATCCACCTCCTTTTCTAGGGGAGTTTGGGATGGAAGGGTTTGGAAATATTTTTTATGTGCCAGAAAACAATTACAATCATGGCATGGATTGGGTTAATCTTATATGATATGTAATTAAAGCAATTCTAGTATTAATGTAGCTAGTGACCATCTTATGTACATTTTTTTTTTTTTTTGCCCTTGGCTTTGTTTTTATGTTGTAGTGTTTCAGTGGTACTTTACATTTGACTAGAAGATGGAATTGTTAATGTTAGAATATAACTTGCTTTTTAATTATGGATGAATTTTTATTTATATATTGGACTTATTATATTATTATATATTTATTGGTTTTTTTTTATAGTTATTTTTCATTTAGTACAGGTCATTTTCATATTTTTAATAATTTTATTACAGGTTTTTTTTTTGTTTTTTTTTTTAAATTTGTTTTGAAACGGCCTTTAGCGATGGTATCGTAGCCGTCGACAATAGTCATTAGCGACGGCCCAGGTTGCTGTCTCAAATAGACTTTTAGTGACGGTATTTTTGCCGTCGCAAAAAACCCTTTTAGCGACGGCAATACTGTGCTGTCGCAAAAAACTCAGATTTTCATCCATTATTGGCGACAGAAATTTGCGTCGCAAAAAAGGAATTTTCCCGTCGCTAAAACCCTTTTGCAACCCCTTTTGTTGCGACCCCCACTTGCCGTCGCAAAAAGCCATTTTACCGTCGCAAAAACCTTTTGAGACGGCATTTGGGGTATTTGCGACGGCGTTTTGCCGTCGCAAAAAACAATTTTTTTTGTAGTGAAAGTGACACATCTTCATCAATGGTGAATGATTTTCCTCTCTTTGTTTTTGATGAACCTTCCATAGTAATTGTGTGAAAAAACTATAAATAAAAATGTACCTTGGGACGTTTGTTGTGAAATGAAATTGAAAAATAAATAAATAAATAAATAAATAAAAAGAAAAAGGCTTTCTGTGTAATGAAATTGAGATTCAAGGTTTGTATTAAAAACAAGAAGAAGAAGAAGAAGAAGATAGAGTCATTTTTTTATAGTCGTTGTAACATAAAAATATGACTGTTTGTAGCTGTTATGTGTTTGTTTGTTTGTTTTGTTTTGTTTGTTTGTTTGTTTTTTTTTAATGAACAAAATAGCACAATTGGACTGATCTTGGGGGTTGATCACTCAACAAGATCTCAGCCGTTGATTAAATAACAATCCAACGGTTGAGATCAATACTCTAGAATGATCTTTTCAACATATTGATCTTCTCAACATATGACCGTTTATTGCACAGTCATTTTAAACATTTGCTCTCTCTATCTCTCTGTTGTGTCTCTATCCTCTCATTACTCTCTTCATCACTGTTGCCTTTATCTCCCTCACTCTCATCGTCTTCATCTCTCTCTCCCTAGTTCTCACCTTCTTTATGACCTATTCACCACAACATTTGTTTAGTTACCGAGAAACAGAGCAAAGGGATAGTGATTGTTTTTTTATTTGTTCTCATCTTCTCCGATCTTCTCTGATCTTGATCTTCTCCGACTGTCTTTGATTTTTATGTCGAAGCTCTCTACTCTCATCTTATCCAATCTTGATTTTATTTATTTGTTTATTTTGTTTCAAAATACACTCTCCCTAACCAAAATACACTCTCCAATTTTTGCTTGTTGTTTCAGATGCTACTAACAGTGGCTTTATATCTCCAAACATGTCATGGTCTAGGATTTTCAGATTGCCTCTACTTTACAAGCATGTACATCACTCCTCTTCTGGATGTAGGTAACTTCGTTTATCAGAACATATTAATATATCTAATTCATATTTATCACACACAAACAACTCTGGGCTTTTTGTTGAAATTTGTGAGTAATTGGTGAATTGGTGCTTTTTTGGTGAAATTTGGTATTGCGAAAATTTGGTGATTTTTGTATTGGTGAAATTTGTCTGGGAAAGGCACAAATTGGTGATTTTTTTTTTAGACCCACCTTGAAGTAATTAGTGAATTCTATTTTAAATAAAATGGTAAATTTTGTTTTAAAAAAAGAAAACTTCAAACATTCTGGAAAAGTCCCAACTGAAAGGGAAGGAGGGAAGGAAGAGATCAGTTGGTTTTTGGGCGACTTGGCAAATTTGGCAGCTGCCAAAGTAGCTACCAAATTTGGCACATGATTTGGGTTGGCAGCTGCTATAGCATGCCATTGGAGAAGCCATTTTTGCCCAAGGTGCTATATTATGGCTTTGGCAGCTGTTTTAGCAATCCATTGGAGATGCTCTAAGACAAACATAGGCACATATTAAATGCCAAAACAATAAAGATACCAACTACTAATGACAAGGAAAAGACATAAACACTAGCCACAAAAAAAAAAATAAAAAATAAAAAATAAAAAAATAATATCCTTGAACAATTTATTAAAAAGAGAGGGATGGGCATTTGGAAAAATTAAAAAGAAACCAAGAAGACCAAGATAAGTTCATTAAGATCACCTCTGCTACATTCACTGTTAACCAAACAATTCATGGTTGTATAAATGACATTAATAAAATCTAATTGGATAAGAATCCATCAAGATCACCTCTGCTACAGTCACTGTCAACTAAACAATTCGTGGTTATATAAATGACATTAATAAAATCTAATTGGATAAGAATCCATCAATACCAGTATTAATTCCATCCTAAAATCAAAATCCTTTTTTCAATTGAAATTCCCAAATCATTTTTTTTTTGTTTTTTGGTTCAATTGAAATCCTTCAATCAAAACCCTAGCTTGAATAACAAGAGAGAGGTGAGAGAGCTCTCCATATCATGTAAAAACCCCTAAATCAAAACCCTAATTTTTTACCCAACAATAGATTTGAAACAAATCGAGTAAAAAGCCTCAAATCAAAACCCAACGAATATATTTGAAATAAATCATGTAAGAATCTCTCAATCAACACATTCAACAAGCTTATATTACCATTACCAAGCATACAAAATCCTAATTTTTGAATTCAAAACCCTAATATTTTAAGTTTGGAGGATGAACTTGTTGAATCCGAACTCAACCACTCCTCGACGGCGGCGGAGGAGCAAGGGATGGGGCAGCAAGGCAGTGACTCCTGTGCCCTTTATCTTCTCTCTCTCTCTCTCTTGCTCTTGCTCTCATTTGAAATACGTCTGAAACTAAGAGAGTTTTTTTTTATAATTATTTTGAATTATCTCACCAAATGACATCATTTTGGTGAGGTATTCATCTCAACCCTTGGTTTTTTAAGTGATCTCAGCCCTACATTTTAATTCTTGTTTTTTTTTTTTTTTTTTCCAACTAGCTTTTTTAGTCGCTAATGAGCAAAAATAAAATCTTTTGTGATGGATTAACAAAGGGCATCACAAAAAAAAAAAAAAATGAAGACGAGTACCGTTGAATATTACTTTTTTCCACGGTCTTGGATTTTTGCGATAGTCAAATGTTGTCGCAAAAAAATTAATTTTGCAACAGTTTTTTTTACTATCGCAAAAGCATGCTTTTTGCGATAATTTTGAAATCGTACCAAAAAGTTCTGTGTCTAAAGCCTCATTTTCTACTAGTATAATGCTCCAATAGTGGATCAACGGTGGTGCTCAATGGTGGTGATGCTCCATACCCAACGACGATAGAGACAAAGCAACAAAGATTCAATATCAGGAGGAGGGGAACTGGCATGAGAGCAAGAGAGAGAGAGAGAGAGAGAGAGAGAGAGAGAATGAGTGAGACAGAGGCATGAGAGAGTTAGAGAGATAGAGGCGTGACAGACTTAGAGAGACTGAGGAGTGAGAGTAGCCTAAATGATGCTGTTTGTAAGCCCTAATTTAATTTTTTTTTTCTTGACAAACCACTATTTAGTTGCCAATAAGAAATAAAAGGCATTTTCCCTTGACTAAATATTCGTTGGTCTCCAATTAATTTATCAATCCCTCCAAAAATCAAACTTTTCCCTCCCAAACTTTTTAATTACAATGACCAACTAAAATTTTTAGTCTCTAAAAGCATAATAAATAAAGACTAAATTATTTTTAATAGCTACAGATTATACATTTAGGGGCCATTTTTTTTTTGTCACCCAAAAACCCTATTTTCAATGACTAAAACTCATTTAGTTGCCATAAGGAAAATAAATAATGACTAAATTATGTTTTAGTAGCTAAATAATATACATTGAAAAGCCCCCAAAATAATTACTGTAACCATACTCAACATTAATAAGTGATCACAATGACGAAGTAGTTAACTTTCATTGATTTACAATTAAGCTTTACAAAAGTGATATAATAAAAACACAAGATGAAAGTTAGACAAATAAGAACTGCCCTAAAGGCTTACATCTTTCCAAGACGATGCTTGGTTACAACAAAGGTGGACTTAAGTCCAATACAATTAAAGCCTTTGACTTGAACAAAAATGAATACAACAAATACATAAAAGAAGCTCTCGCTCCAAGTCCTCCCAAGCTATTGTCTTGGTGGAGGCATATCATCAACACCTGAAATATTTTTCCCACATACGGTGAGCCAAAGCCCAGTAGAAATAATCCAACACAATATATGAATCTTAACAAAACTATAAGGTGAATGCATATGCAATGCTCATGCCAAAACATTTTTACATCTCTTTCCAAAACTATGCAATGCCATAATAATATCATAAATCATTTCCTTTGGAATAAAAAGATAGGGTTGTGAATCATGCTTTGGGAATTTCAAAACAATACAACTTTTCTCGGAATTTTCGTCCGGAGCAAACTGTAAACTGGGACCCATGTAAACATAGGCTATACAAGCACTATTATTGTCGTTTCACAAAAATTTCGTCTGCGAGATTGGCACCCATGTGTACGCGCGGTTTTTAGTATACTTTCACCATGGACACTCAAGCCAACTTATTTCAACATTACAATACATGTTTTCCAGATTCACCTTTTTTCTCAAAACGATAAACATTTCCAATGTATAAGTATGAGCTAATGCTCAATGCAAATGAATGAGAAAATAGTTTCAATTTTCCTAATTCTTATGCAATTTCTACAACACTCATAACTATCCTCTACTGATAGCCCAAAATAGATATTTCTAAATTGATAAACAATTATCAATAAAGACAAACTCTCCAAATTTTCAATAGGTGAGTGATAATACATATCTAACTCCA